TCAAAACACAAATTATATTTTCACTCTTCTATTATATAAAATATTTTTTTTTTGATCTTCATACAAAATAATTAGTTTATTAAATGATTCAAAATGATTAATTAACAAATATAATTTATATAAAAAAAAACTTTAAAAAAAAACATCCTTTCTCCCGCGCGTTTACGCGCGGGGTGGTTTCCTAGTAAAAATAAAAGAAAACAAATATCCGCGCGATTGCGCGGGTGAGATCTAATTTATCATTAAAATTGAGCAGATTAAAACTAATTAAAATTGAGTAAGAAAATAATATTTTATTTATTGACCTTGTCAGTTTATTCTTTGATCGACTCTTTTACATAACTTATCTCAATTTATTCCTTTATTTTTCAGTTTACTCCTTGAATTTCATAAATGTCTATAATTCCCCACAAAAAAATAGAACAGAGATTAACAGAATGCCTTGTTCTTTGAACTTTGGTGACATCCTAATACTGTATATATATTAGAAAAATCAGGTGAAATAAATAACCAACAACAAAAACAAATTAACAGAGAGCATTTGCAAAGCCACACGAGTTGCTAGCACGTGTGAACCATTTCATTCTTGGAAAAGGAAGCAGCTGATTAATTATTGACTTGACGTCAGCTAACAATGATTAATTAAGAAAAACCAACCACCATTGGAAAAATCAATTAACAAGAAAAGAAAAGAAAAAAAAAGAAAATAGAATCAGCCACTTGTGCAGCTCTGACTCAGTTAACTTCCGAGTCTCCGAGCTCTCTCTCTCTCTTTCTCTCCCGGCGATTCTGTTCAGCTCTTGACTCAACCTTAGATTCACAGGTAAAAACTATTCTGCATTGTAATCTCTTTCTCCGTCGTCTTCATCTCTACTTCTTCTCCAAGCTTTTGCGGTTCTTCTCCTCTCTTTGCACAGATGATCTTCGTCTAGCTTCGTTGATGTAACATTGACTTTACGTTTTCTTCTCGATCGCAGATTCTCTCTACTTCAAAGCAGCTCCAGCATTTGGATCATCGGAAAGTTCGCTTAGCTTCGCGAATAGTAAGTTACTCGCCTGCTACGATCTTGATCGTGAAAACTGGAACGAACTTTCTTTAATTTCGTCAAATAACGATCTCATTGATCAAATAGAGATTCGAGATCCTATCAGTTAGTTAGTTAGTACTTGACGAACTTAGATCACAACAATCAATACTAATATATAACTGAATCATACTTATTTAATATCCTTTGCATTCTGATGATTGATTTGCTTATGTTGGAATCGATTAGGATATTGATGATGCGATTGTAATCAAGAAACTATGGAGGATCTTTGCCTATCACCACTGAGACAAGGAAGCTTCAAGTCGTCACCACCAAGAGGCTCACCAACATTCAGGAGAGTACATTCTGGTAGGACTCCTCGTAGAGAGGTCAAACCTAACGGCGGAGCTCTTCAGTGGTTCAGAACTAACCGGCTCCTTTACTGGCTGCTTTTGATTACTCTCTGGACCTATCTTGGATTCTATGTTCAGTCCAGATGGGCGCATGATGATGATAACAAAGTTGAGTTCTTGCGGTTTGGAGGAAAACTTAGGGAAGATGTTTTGCATGTGGAGCAGAGTAAACGAGTAGCTACTCATTCTGTAGTTGATGGTACTAATGTAGTACATGTGGATGTTAATAAGAGGATGCATGTGGCTCTGGCCAAGAAAGAGGAAGGGACACCTCGACGAAGCTTGAGTGCTAGGAGGAGGAGGAGGAGAAAGGCTCGTGGTAAGAAGCAGGTGAGGAAAGTGGTGGAGGATTTGGATGAGCAAGATTCGGAACTTCCGAAGACGAATGTTACCTATGGTAAGCTTTTTGGTCCTTTTGGATTAATTGAGGATAGGATTCTTGAGTGGAGTCCGCAGAAGCGGTCAGGGACGTGTGACAGAAAGTCAGATTTTAAACGTCTTGTTTGGTCAAGGAGATTCGTTCTGCTTTTCCATGAACTGTCAATGACCGGTGCTCCTATTTCGATGATGGAGCTGGCTTCCGAGCTTATGAGCTGTGGTGCGACGGTCTATGCAGTTGTTCTGAGTAGAAGGGGTGGTTTGTTGCAAGAGCTTATGAGGAGAAGGATCAAAGTGGTTGAAGATAAAGGAGAACTTAGCTTTAAAACTGCTATGAAAGCAGATCTTGTCATTGCAGGATCAGCTGTTTGTGCTACATGGATTGGTAAGTCTTCAAATGTGATGTTTAGAAACTAGACTCTGTGACCAATGAAAATAAGCCTGCTGATTCTTTGTTTAATCCTTGTTTCTCCCAGATCAATATATGGATCACTTTCCAGCTGGTGGGAGTCAAATAGCATGGTGGGTAATGGAGAACAGGCGAGAGTACTTTGATCGGGCGAAGCCTGTACTTGACAGAGTGAAGCTGCTTATATTTCTATCTGAAGTACAGAGTAAACAATGGTTAACATGGTGTGAAGAGGAGCAAGTGAAGCTCAGGTCTCAGCCAGTTATCGTTCCGCTGTCTGTTAATGATGAGTTGGCTTTTGTAGCCGGGATTTCCAGCTCGCTGAACACTCCAACACTGACCACAGAGATGATGAAGGCGAGAAGACAAACACTACGTGAATCAGTCAGAAAAGAGTTTGGTTTGACAGATAAGGATATGCTTGTGATGTCTCTTAGCAGCATTAACCCGACGAAAGGCCAACTTCTTCTCCTTGAATCTGCCGCCTTGGCACTAGAGAGAGCAAATGAACCAGAACAAGTAGCTAAAGGTCAGCAGTCCAAAACCAAGAATCTCAATGGCGTTAAGAAAGAAAAGATTAGTCTTGCAGTCAGACATCGGCTAAGAGGTTCATCACGGAAGGTGAAAATCAAGTCCTCTGCTGCTGATAATCCGTCTGTTCTGTCTGCCACCGCTAAAAGAAAGCTGCTCTTCTCTGCCAACGTAACACAGAAACAAGACCTTAAGCTTCTTCTCGGATCAGTTGGGTCCAAGAGCAACAAAGTTGCATACGTTAAGGAAATGTTGAACTTCTTGTCAAAGAATGGAAACTTATCGAACTCGGTTGTGTGGACTCTAGCAACCACTCGTGTTGCCTCACTATACTCTGCAGCAGATGTCTACGTAACAAACTCCCAGGTAACGTTTCTTATCTTGACCCTTTTATAGCTTTACTTTAAAGAGCACAATCAAGCGTTGTTCAATCTGTGAAACAGGGAATTGGTGAAACATTTGGGAGAGTGACTATAGAAGCAATGGCTTATGGTCTTCCGGTGAGAAGAAATGATTTTGATAGAAGAAAATGATAGGTTGTTCATACTAATCATTGGTTTTTCATGGGACCAGGTGCTTGGAACAGACGCAGGAGGAACGAAAGAGATAGTGGAGCACAATGTGACAGGGCTACTACATCCTGTAGGGAGGCCAGGGAACAAAGTGTTAGCTCAGAATCTCTTGTTTCTTCTTAAAAACCCATCTACAAGGCTACAGCTAGGCAGCGAAGGACGTAAGAAGGTTGAGAAGATGTATATGAAGCAACACATGTATAAGAGATTTGTGGATGTTTTAGTCAAATGCATGAGACCCTAAGTGTGTACCTGCCTTCGTTTATTTTGCTTTAGTTACTTGTTCATAATCCAGAATAAACAAACCCAATTCTTAACAAATTCAATGATATTCTTTAGTTCTGTAAATTTGTATATTCGTTTATTTGTTACCACTGGACACATGATTTTATATTTTCCTAAAGGAAAGATAAGCAACAAGACTTAAATCTTGTAATTGGCAAAAATATAGACACAGTAGTGTCTTCCATTAATCTAGTGTTTTATTTTTTGAATCGTCTCTTCTTGGTTTAGTCGCAGTGTTTTCCTTCCCAACAGTCTGTTTATTTAGATTTCATAGTGTCTAGATAAAGATTAAATAGAAAATTCAAATATGTTAGTGTTCTTGGACCCACACGGCCACATCAATTACAAATCTCTATGTTACTGTGCTTTGATCGTCGCTCTTGGAAAAGAGAGATTGGTTTGAGTAAAATAGATAGAAGAAACAATGTCGTGAGTGTGAACTAGACGGAGCATTCAATCGATCGTAATCGTTTGAATAGGTTAAAGAACCATACGAAGTCAAGACAAGACAAGACACTGAAGAGGAGAAGTTGATCAAAAGTGATCAAGGAAAAAACCTAAGCTATTTGACTAATGATAGTCCAAGTTGCGTGGAAAACAAGGAAGTGAGTGATGAGAGAATAGGGACTTTTCTTCATATTCATTTTCTTCAAATAAGGAATTGACTGATGAATATATCTATTTTAGTTACCTCCTGCTCATAGTTACTCAAGGTCAACAAACACACTTGTTGGTTAGATGATAGTGTTGGAAATAACTAAATTAGTAGTCTCTTCTCTATTTTCCGGTTATTTCATTGAAATGGGAACGTAATCAACCCTAATTTTCAAAGTGAGAGGTGACGTTAGGAGCACGCAACGATATGGCGCACAAAGAAATGCGATCGTTGACGTGGCGATGAATGTTGAAAAGGTGCGGGCAACAAAGTACTTCACGTGAGAATTGAGCATAAATTAGTTATGACCAAACTATCCATTTTATTACAAACACGTCGATAAATATAAAAAAAAAGACCATGCTCAACTTACATTAAGATCAATTACAAAACATGTCGATAATATATCAAAGAAAAGTACCATAGCCTAGGTGACCGATGCCTGTAATACATATAGATATAGCCAGTGGCGGAGCCAGCTAAGGAGCATGTGGGTCATTTGACCCATATCAAATTTAAGAATTAATCAAATTTAGGCATAAATTTGTAATATATCTTGATTATTTGGTTGAGTTTCACTAGTTTGACCCCCTTAATATCTAGCCAAGTTCATATATATAATCTTTTGACCCTAGTTTTTTCTTTTCCTAGCTCCGCCACTGGATATAGCACATGGTATTGTATTCCCTTAACTTATTACGTGAAGACTCGACCATGCATATATAATATTCATCCATCACCATTGAATTTCTGTTTGTGAGCTTCGGTAACTAACTTAACATTTGTGGCCAATCCAAGAGCTTGGAGAAACCGAACAATGTACCAAGTAATGTCAATTTGCCACCACTCAAGTCCATGTCTAGCTGAGAACTCGAATGCATGATGGTTGTTATGCCAGCTCTCCCCTAGCGTTCCTATCGCCAGCCACCTCCAATTATTTTGCGACATTAATATCATTAACACCTCAAAAGAACATAATTAACATCTATATATAATCGTGTTTCTGAATTACTTCTTACCAAGTGTTCTTCGAGAGATCACCAGTTTTCCATGGCTGCGTTCCCCATGTATGCGAGGCTGCCGTCATAAGAAATGTGGAATGTAACACGAATACAGCTCTAACTCCCTGTCACAGATAATTTATATAAATATTTAAGAGCCACTTTTTATTTATACAAGAATTAAAAAAAAAAGAAGAAATAATAAAGTTACCACTCCCCATACGAGGAAAGGAAAGCCACCAACAATGTAAAGGAGAAGAGAAAGTGCAAGGTTGTTCAAAATCCATGTTCTTTGAAGAAACCTATAAAAAGGCTGTCTCACCAAATCGGCTGCGTTCTCGTCCCCTCCACACTGTATATATATTACAACTCATGATTTAGACCTACTTATTATTTCAACTGATGATAAAATTAGAACATGTGGATTACTAATTAATTACATTTTGGAGAATAGAACCAGTGTCAAAGATCCATAGGAAATAACTAAACCAAAAGCCATGGCGAGGAGTATGTGGATCACGATCTGTATCACTGTATTGGTGATGGTAACGATGATTGCTCACCCACTCTATTGGATCTCCCTGTACATATATAACCAACCTAACATTAAGTTATATGCTCACAATACACTAGCTTTAAAAACCCTTGTTTAATTTGCAAACCTGAAAAGCAAGTGTACCACACCAAGCAAAGAAATATTCTAGCCATTTAGGCAGAACAAAACTCCGGTGTGATAGATTCCTGTGATAGGACAACGTGATTCCGGTTCCAGCAATGACACTGAGACCAACCGCTACTCGAAAAGCCGACCAGTTGAAGTGAAAAGGTGCATAGAGGCTGAGAAGATGAACACCAAGTATCCCTATTGCTCTACTCACATCCCAATAGTTCCATCTCCTTTCCCAAAATGATCGCTTCTTTCTCACAACCTCTGAAAAAGGTTGTTTCCGGTAGCTTTCCTCCGTTTTGGTTGTTTCTCTCAGCACATCATCGGCAGTGAAGGTTGGTTTCTTGCAAGAAACAACTAATCTTTTGGGAAAATGGAGTTTTGAGTTAGGTTTATTTTGAGAAAAGAAGATGAGATTGTTAGGGTTGTGTTTTGATCGTGGTCTTGTGGCAAGTGTCGCTGAAGAAAAAGGAGGTAGTGATTTGTATGAAGTCGATAGAGAAACCATTGTGTAAGTGTGAGGGTAATCAACCGATCGTATCCGTTTAAATAGGCTTTTTGAGGTGGAACAGTAATATTCAACATTTCTTGAGAAACAATATATTAAAGATGTTGGAAGATAAACGAGTGACTTTTCTACAAACACTTAGTATCGCTCAAATCAAATTTTCATTCTAAGTTAATACTCCATCTATTTCATATTAAGTTTTCATATCAAGTGTAGCTTTAGAAAAAAAAATTTTGTTACAAAGTAAACGTTGTTTTTAATTTTCAATACAAGATTTATTAACTATGTAATTTATTTTTGAGAAAATAACTATAATAGACCTAAAAAGGTTTTTATCACAAATATAGACTTTAACAATTAAAATGACCAAAATAACACTTAAATATTTTATTAAATATACATTTAAATCTTTGGGTTAACTAATCCTAATTTTTTTTTGTTTAGAGTTAAGGAGTGAGGTTTTGGGGATAGGGTTTCGAATTAAAAAAAAAAAAAAAAACTTAAAATTTTCAAAATAAAAAGTGCTATTTTGGTCATTTTAATTTGTGAGGTCTATTTTGTGATAAAAATTTTAAAAAGGATTATTTGAGAGAATTGCCCTTTATTTTTTCTATTAGTTAATATTTAGTTATGTATATTGAGAATAGTGTTTTTTATATTAAAAATATATAAAATAATTATTTTCTTAATTTGTATACACGAATTTAAAACAACATTTACTATGAAACAAAATGAAGAGTAAATACCTTGCCACTCGTAGTGAGTCAATGTCTACACAAACTATTTGATAAGATGTAGTGTTGGAAAATTTAGTAGTTTCTTGTCAATGCCGGTCGTCCAAGAGTTGATATCAACAAATCAAGACGTGACATTTAGCCCATGGAAAATATGATTACTGACGCGGTGACAAATGTTGGAAGGGTGTAGAATGATAAAGCGGAAGACCTTGGCTATTGACCATTATAGGAATCAAGTGATGGAAGATGAACTAGTGACTTTTCTTCAAACACTCATTATCGCTAAGCATTTTCGTCCTAACTTAATAGGCACTCGTAGTAAGTCAATGTCAATAGATGATAGAAATTAGTAGTTTCTTCTCTGTTTGTTGATCGTCGAAAGATTTAAATAATGGGATTAAATAATATATCTTTCAATTCATAAAGTCACATATGAGATAGCTTAAGCATTGGCAGTTTTGTAAATGTTAATGATCAAAAACTAAATCAATCAGAAATCTTCATAAGACAATTAGTATTATCGGTTGTGGAATTCTCTAGGTAATATTTTCATAATCATAAGATTATAATAAATCATCATTAAAAAAAAGAGCTAAAACTAATCTTCAATTTTAGCATGTGTAACCATTTTTCTGTACGTGACAGGAAAAAAAGAACCGTTTGTTGTTAGTTTGTTTGTTTCCAAATAGAAAAAAAAAGGGAAATTTGTCAAAAGGGGACCGAAAAACACAACTATTGTCCCCTTAGAATAAAATCAAATTTTGGCACTTTTGGACCTTCACTACCCTTTTTGTATATAAAAATCCATAGTAAAAAATTTACAAGGTAAAAAATTGAGGAAAAATATACAATATGAAATAGAGTAGCATGTGAATATATGAAAAATATTTTTACATTCAAAAAATGTTTGGAATAGTAATCTCAAAAATTGGATAAATCGGGTAGTAAATCAGATCTAGCATCTACGGCGGTTCAGAATGTACAATCTACCAACAACTAATCCATCTAAAGGGCTTAGAATGCGTAATACACCAAAAACATAAACATCTACGAATGAAGAATATGATAACTGACATTCCTTCTTTGTTATGCAGTTTCAGTAGAACATAGCATATACTAAAGACCCATCCGTCTACCTTGGCAGAACATATCTTCTTAGTTTTAATGTTTTGTCTACGCTCGTGGGATTACGTTTCCACTGGTTAAACTAATGGAAAATTTGGTAGAATGTATCTTCTACCAACGGTTTATGAGCCACCATCCGAAAATCTAGGAAAATCTAAAGAATAATGGTTAGTAAATATTCTCTAAATATTTTTGTTTCCTTTTTTAATATTTTTTGCCATGAACGTGTTTAAGTTTCATATTTGGTATATATAACCTATTATATACTACCTTTTTTTATTATATGACAATATGATAACTTGGTTCAGTGGTTTATATGTCTAAAACCTCTATTAGTAACCCGAGTTCGAGTAATTACACTGCACATGTTTTCCTATTTTTCGTCCTTTTTTGCTGTTTATAACACTAATCCTTGAAGTTAACATCTTTGTAGAATTTAGTACGAAAAGTACTCAAAGGAAGCAATTAGCATCTTTGTGGAATTGTCGTGGTGAACTCATACGAGTGGTTTTATGATTCTTATATTGACGCAATTTATATTGACAGAATGGTCACACGGTTTCTGAACAACAAGATAACAATCAAACATGTCTCAACAACAAGAGCAAAGCAAAAAAAAATTTCCATACTTGTAATGTAAACAAGAGAAACCAATCACATAAAGAGAGGTTATCATATTCTCTCTGTAGTTAAACATGAAAAGGTAGCTCATGTTGTTGACCTCAGGACGAGCCTTCTTCAGCGACTCCCAAACTCGTTCAACCTCAGAAGCCTTTGAGATTCCAGCGTACAAGCTAATGAGAAAATGATGTGCGTGTCGGTTGTTAGGATTCATCTTCTCCTCCATGGTTCTCAGAGCTGACTCCGCCTTCTCGTAAAGACCAGCTTTATTATAGATCCCAGCCAAGCTAGAGAATGTATTCCAAGTGGTTTTAACTTCACAGTCTTTCCCCATCTCATCTATAACCTTCTCTAACCCTTCTAAATCATTCAAACTTCCACAGCTCTGCATCCATATAGAGTAAGTGATCTCACAAGGAAGTAAACCCCTCTGTTTCATCGCATCAACAAGCAGAGGAACCTTTTCTGGTTGACCTAACCGCATGTACATTGACATCATGTTGTTAAATGGCAACGAGTTGTTAACAAAGTTAAGCTCATCCATCTTCTCGAAATGAGACTTTGCCTTCTCTTCCTTGAGTTCCACACAATAACAGTTCATAAGAGCTCCATAAGTAGACTGATGATTCTTTGTCCATCCACTCAAAGATCTGAAATTTACCATCCAAAATGTGAATAAAAATGTAATCTTTCTTCTAAAATGACATTNCCTCCCTATCAGATCGATTTGCTTGTATGTTTCTTCTTCTCTTCATCACCGTCAATCCAACGAAGCTCGTATTCACGCCACCAGATGTGAAGTCATGTGAGAAGCTTTAGTAGAGGAAACAGAATACGAAATAAAACAAGAGAACTAAATAATAATAATATATTTGATACACATTTTGGGTCTAATACGAAGGATAAAACGGGATTATCATTATTGTTTATACTAAGTGGACAAAAATCTCAAGTATAATTCTAAGGGGACAATATGTTAATTTTTTTGTCCCTTTTTGGCAAATTTCCCAAAAAAAATGGAACAGAAGTTTAACAGTTCTGTTTCAGGTAGATCATGGTACTTCACATGTATTTATGAAAAAGAAACTAACTTACGATAGAGAACATAAAAATAAACATAACAATCCGTAATGCAAAGAAATGGATGTTACCAACAACGTCGTCAAAACCCTAGCTCGGTGGTGTCTTGTTTTACAAGCCATCATGATCTCATTCAACACCGTGGCTCTCAAGGAACCTGACTACGTAAACATGTACGTAACAATCCGTAATGCAATAACCGGGCTAATCCGCCCGGAAATCGTCTATCGATGCCAGTCTAAACGCAAAGACTATGGTTGGCATCGATCTACAAAACCAGTATTAGATGTCCCACATCGTTTATATAAATGATTCTTAGGTAATATATATGTGTATGGGCAAACCTCCACTCTTGAGCTAGCTTTTGGGTGTGAGTTAGGTCCATCACTAATATGGTATCAGAGTCAGGTTTGGCCTAGTATTATGGTTTCCCACATAAACAGTTTCCTAGTAATATATATGTGTATGGGCAAACCTCCACTCTTGAGCTAGCTTTTGGGTGTGAGTTAGGCCTATCACTAATAAACAGGAACTCAGTTTTCATTCCCAATAATTCTCATAAAGGGAGATACCGGCGATTCATATCTGTCATGTCTGGTCCGCCTTAGGAACAGCCACACTCGTGATTGAAAACACTTATCTCGATGCTGAGATGTGTCCTAAATCATCATGTGCTCATGAAGCGACACCAAAAGGGATCTTGTTTAGAGGCCTTGAATGGGATTTCAAAACCGTGTTTCCAAAACTCAAACCAGTTGAGTATCTAGAATTGCCGTGGACACCTTGGCCAAACAGAACATGAATTTTTCATCATTCTTTGTTTGTTTCCTTTTATGTTCATTCTAGTTACAGAAATTTTACTTTCATAATCATAAGCAGTTTGTCACATACAATCTACTCTATTGAAATAGAGTCATTCTTTTTATCTACTAATACAAGTTGTCATTTAAATTTAGACCATTTCTAGAGTGTTACAAATAATACAAGTCATATAGTTAACTGAACTGTATTACTTAAATTAAACCGGTGGTTATTTATGGGATATAGTCTTGGGCTTATTTTTGTTTTTAGAATAAATTATATGATTTGGTTTTTGGGCTTAATATTAAAGAAAAACTCCAAAAAACATTGAATAAACTTTCCATCTTAATGGATCAAAAAATCAATTATTTTTTCAGGCCCAAAAGGTATTTAAGATTTTTAACAAAACAAAATTGTCTATTATTAATCATTTATTTAAATCATGTACTTAAAAACATGCTAATGTATTTTTTATTTAAAATAAGAATCCCTTTTTTGATAAATTTCAATGGTAACTTTTATATAATATATTGTTTTATTTTTCTTAAATAATTTACTGATTTAAAAAAATATGTAAAGCAAAACCAAAAACTAAATTTAAAAACTAAAATCCAAAACCAAAAGTTTAAAACGCAGGTTATATTTTTGCTTTTCTTTATTTACAAAATAAAATATTGCAATTTTTTTTAAAAAAAAACTTTTGTCATCTTTTCAGTTTTAAATTAGATGTTCGATTATTTGGGATTTGTTTGTTGGTAATATCAGTTCAAACTAACTCAGCGGATCTAAAAATTAAAAAACTCAAACCAAAAGCTGAAATCAAAAATAGAAAATTAAAAACTAAAACCCAAAAAATCAAAATCTAAAACAAAATCTAAAAATAAAAATTGAAACTAAAACTAATGAAAAACAATCATCATCACAAATTTTGGTAAACTAATTTTATATCAAAACATTCTTTAAATTAAGAAAAAATTTCCGCGCTTTCAAGCACGGGTTAAAATCTAGTGTTAGTTTAAAGTTCCCTACATTTATGCGTTAGAGAAACCATTTTATTTTATTTTGTGCCGTTAATTATATCTACTATATTAAAACAGAGTCATTCCTTTTATCTACTGATATAAGTTGTCATTTAAATTTGGACCCTTTCTAAAATGTTACAAATAATATAAGTCATATAATTGATTGAACCGTATTACTTAAATTAAACCAACACAATTAATGTAAAAAGACGACCTTAATGTAAACTACCTTCAAAATATGGCAGGTATCTATGTGTATACCGAAAACACATATTTTTCCTACAAATATGGAATGTTCTAAACGAATATATATCATCAAAATATGGAATATGGAAATCAACTAATTATACTTAAATTAAATCAGTGGTTATTTATGAAATATAGTCTTGGGCTTACTTTTATTTTTTGAACAAATTATATAGTTTGGTTTTTGGGCTTAGTATTAAGAAAAAAACTCTAAAAACATTGAATAAAATTTTCACCTTAAAAGATCAAAAAATCAATTATTATTTTCAGACCCAAAAGGTATTTAATATTTTTAACAAAACAAAATTATCTATTAATCATTTGTTTAAATCATGTACTTTAAAACATGTTAATATTTTTTTATTCTAAATAACAATCACTTTGTTTTGATAAATTTCAATGATAACTTTTAATAATTTATTATTTTATTTTTCTTAAATAATTTACAGATTAAAAAATGTAAAGAAAAACCAAAAACCAAAAACCAAATCTAAAAACTAAAATCCAAAACCAAAAGCTGAAAACACATGTTATATTTTTTTGCTTTGTTTATTTACAAAATAAACTATTTTAAATTTTTTTTAAAAAAGTGTTGTCATCTTTTCAGTTTTGAATTAGATGTTCGATTATTTGAGATTTGTTTGTTAGTAATATTAGTTCAAACTAAATCAGCGGGTTTAAAAATTAAAAACCCAAACCAAAAACTGAAAATGAAAAGTAGAAACTTAAAAACTAAAAACTAAAAACCAAAATCTAAAAATAAAAACTGAAACTAAAAACTAATGAAAAATAATCATCACCACAAATTTTGGTGAACTGATTTTATATCAAAATATTATTTAAACTAAGACAAAACCCAATTATATAAATTTTTAATCATAAAAAATTTTCGCGCTTGAAAGCGCGTGTCAAAATCTAGTTAGTGTTTAAAGAGGCACACCAAAGCTGGATCGATTGAAAAGAACTTTAGGTTTATTCGCAGTAGAAGATGTAGGAGGAACATAGTTTGAGAGAACTATTCAAATTCTAGAAGATGATTTATGCAGGGAAGGATCAGACCAAAGCCATTCTCTTCTTTTGAGTTTCAGTAGGTAACTTTACGTTCGTTGCCAAACCAATAGCCTCCAGAAACCTAATGACATACCAAGTAACGTCGAGCTGCCACCACTCGAGTCCATGCCTAGCCGAGAACTGGAACGAATGATGATTGTTATGCCAACCCTCGCCAAGTGTTAAAATCGATACCCACCTGATTCATAACCAGTTTACTATGATTATTTAGTGAAACTCTTCCCATGTAAAGGTTCCAAAAAATAAATTATTGCCATGGAATTATATTTATAGACATTACTACCAACTGTTTTTAGATAAGTCAGGTGTGTTCTAAGCTCGTGTTCCCCATATATGGCTAACTGAGGTCCCCAAAAAGGTCAGGGGAAGTCGAGCCACAGTTGCCACACCCTGCCATCGTCAACTTCTCATAAATTAATTTCTTCTTTTATATTTTTGTAAGTATACCTTTTTGGATAAAAAAAGTTTTTAGTTTTGGGAAATCTATCCTTGCCTATTAGAGCATATCAGGTGTGTTTATATTAATAATTCTATATTTTAAAACATTTATATATAAATAAACTAATTAAATATAATTAAGTTATAGTTATTAAAAATGTTAGAAACAATAAATATATTAATATTTTTTAAGAAATATTTATTATATCTTTAAGGGAAAATCTCTCAAATAGATCTATTTAAGTTTTTTTACAAACATAGAACTCAAAAACTAAAATGACCAAAATATGATTTTTTATTTTTTATTTTAAAATTTTTAAGTTTTTTATCTTTTAAAATTTGAAATTCTACCCCCAAAACTCCATTCCTCAACTCTATAAAAAAGAGTATAGGATTAGTTAATCCAAAAGGTATAAGTGTATATTTACTTATTTTTGATCATACATTTAAGTTTATTTTGGTCATTTTTATTTTTAAGATTTATATTTGTGTCAAAAACATTTTTAGGTCTATCCTAGGTAATTTCTCTATCTTTAATATGAGTAAAAAAATTAAAACTCATTTATATCACTATATCAAATATCTATAACAAGAATAGTAATCTATATTATTAAAACCAAAATAATTTTGGGCACTGTTTGGAAATAAGAATAGCATGGTAAATGAAAATTATTAGGAAATATAGATAGTAGATTAAGTACTTCCTTTTATTTGCGCATTTAGCTATTGCATTTACAGTAAATTAAATATTTTTTTTGTATTTCTTTTTATATACAGATTCTGTCATTGCATTTATAATAATTTAAATTAATTAATTACAATGTTTTATGTATTTATGGTGAAAATAAAAAAAACACAAACTGAAATATATTATATATATTATATATCATTTTATTTAATTTAGTCAAATAAAAATATCATAAAACTAATGATAATTCCTAGAAAACTAATGTAAAAAATTAATTTTAGTATAATTAACAAAAACAACATGTTAATATATGAATTTTATAATTACATTAAATTTCATCAAGTTATAAAATTTATAATATAATATTATGTACAAATAAAAAAAATTACTATGGAATATTTTATATTATAAACTAATATATTTTACTCCATATGTAAACTACAAAATATAAAAATAAATATATAAATTTTTTTAATAAAATTAACTGTTTATGAATTTACGTTTAATATAAGTTAAATCAAACACCAGCACGAAAGTGTGGATTAAGCTCTAGTAAAGTATTATAAGTGAAATTAAAAGAGAAGTATATGTCCTTACACTCCTTACGATTCCCCAAACGAAGAAAGGCATGCCTCCACATACATAGAGGAGAAGCATCATAAGCCATTAGACCATCTGCAACAATGATTCTTAACACAAATCTTTAAGAAAAAAATTATTATAAAATTATGTAGGCTTCATTTCATCTATGTTTTTGTGCCAACAAAAACTCTTAAACTCCTTAGCTAAGGATTAGATTTGCTGAGCCTCTTAACTATTCATGGGCTCCACTTAAATAATCTAAAGTGTGATTGGTCAGTTTTTTTTTCTAAATCAAAAAAAAAATATATATAACTACTATTTTTAAGGATTTGTGCCTTGAGTACACCATTGTTGATGCCCTTAGATGCCAAACGAAGGTTCGGTGAAGAAACCTATAGAAGGGCTCCCTCACAAGGTCATTTGCATTCTCATATCCACCACACTACATCCAAGTTTTTATCACAAAAATAAACCATAAAAACTAAAATAATTAAAATAACATTTTTATATTGAAAATATGAAGTATTTTTTAAAAAAAAAAACTTGAAACTCTATCTTCAAAACCCCACTCCTCAACTCTAAACAAAAAAAATCAAGATTAGTTAACCAAAAGATTTAAGTGTATATTTACTTATTTTGATAAAATATTTAAGTTTTTTTGGTTATTTTTATTTTTAAGACCTAATATTTGTGATAAAAGATTTTTAGTTCTATCCTAAAAAAATTTCTTATAATATTAAAGAGTGTATTTTGGCATTGTATTTAAAATGTGTGGAAAAAGATAAAAAGCTCTATTAAATAATCATCTTCGAAATATATAAAAGTGAAACCTGGAAAGGAAGACCTCCGCCATAAGCAAACAGATACTCGAGCCATTTCGGTAGATCGGAACTGCGGTGAGAAAGATTCCTACGATAAGACAAGGGGACACAGATTCCAAAGATCACAATGAGC